TTCTTAAGTTTTCGTGGGTACTTACATATATGGTATTCAGCTTTGTTCGGGTATTTTCCCACGTCATTGTAGTTGTGCTTTTAAAGTTGTAGCAACATTTCGGCAGAATCTCATCTGCCATCATCAGGCTTCTGTACCGTTCTGTATTGCTCTATATTGACACAATACAGAAGCCTGATGATGGCAGATGAGATTCTGCCGAAACATTGCTACAACTTTAAAAGCACAACTATAATGACGTGGGAAAATACCTGAGCAAAGAAAAATACAACCAAGAGGAGATCTATTAAATAATACATGTGATTATGGCAGCAAGGTTAGCCTTTGCTCAAAAATGGAAAGACAAAGAAATTCCCGATGAAAGTGATGTAATAAAAAAGAAATGGGCATTTGCTGAGATGGATAAATTAACTTTGGAAATGAAAGGGATAGACAAGATAGAATACGATAAAGTATGGGATAAATTCTATCAATGGTGGGAAAAAAGAAGGATCTAGAATCAAAAGAGAATAGGGTTGGCAGAATGGATGATTGGAATCAGAAAACATTGTATAAATGTATAGATGTATAAATGTACAAATATATATAAAATATGTATTTTATGCCATAATATGCATGATAAACAGGATTGTTGGGATGATTACACCACATCTAATGTTTTTAATAATTTACTTAATAAAACTTTATTAAAAAAAAGATACGTTCATGTTAACCTTAGCATACACTATATAAAGGCAGTCCTTGACTTACAATAGTTTACTTAGTGACCGTTCTAAGTTACAACGGTGCTGAAAAAAAGGACTTATGACTGTTTTTCACACTTACGACCACTGCAGCACTCTCATGGTCACATGACCAAAATTCAGGCGCTTGGCAACTGGTTCATATTTACAAGGGTCGCAGTGTCATGGGGGGAGGGAGGATCATGTGATCATTTTTTGTGACCTGACAAGCAGAGTCAATGGGGAAAGCCAGATTCATTTAACAACCACGTTACTAAATTGACAACAACAGTGGTTCAACATTGACAACAGCAGTGATTTAACAATGGTGGCAAGAATGGTCGTAAAATGGAGCAAAACTCCCAACAAATGTTTACCTTAGCAAGAGAAATTTTGTGCTCGATTATGGTCGTAAGTCGAGGACTACCTGTACATTAGACCATCAACAAGTACCATCGAGAAGTGATAAGCAGAAACAATATTAAAGAAAATATTTATCTATCATGACTGCATAACTGGTAAATTAGTCAACAAGGCTTTATGGGCAGTCCTCAACTTACAGAATTTAATTTAGTGACCGTTCAAAGAGACAACGGCACTGAAAAAAGTAACTCATGACTGTTTTTCACACTTACGACTATTTCAGCATCCCCCCCCCCCGGGTTACATGATCAAAATTCTGAGTCTTGGCAACTGACTCATATTTATGATGGTCAAAGTATCCTGAGGTCATCTGATACCCTTTTGTGACCTTCTGACAAGCAAATAGGGAAGATATATTAAGAGCAGCTGTGGTCTCTTCGCTGATGATGTAAAGCTATTCAACACCACAGAAAATACTGCGACCCTTCAAAAAGATCTGGACTATGTATCAGAATGGTCAAGCAAATGGAACATCAAATCTCAACAAATAAATGCTCTGTCCTACATATTGGCAAAAAAATCAGAAAATAAAATACAGGCTGAATAGTCAAGACCTTGTTGATGATCCAAGCTCTGTAAAGGGCTCATCTCTAATGATCTAAGTGCTAGAGCCCACTGTAACTACATAGCCAAAAAGGCATTAAGAGTTGTTAACCTAATCATACGTAGCTTTTTCTCTGGTAATATCACACTACTAACTAGAGCATACAAAACATTTGCTAGATCAATACTCGAATACAGCTCATCAGTCTGGAACCCACATTACGTATCTGATATTAGCACAATTGAGAAAGTCCAGAAATATTTCACAAGAAGAGTTCTCCACTCCTCTACTCATTGCAGAATACCTTATGCCACCAGACTTGAAATTCTAGACCTAGAACACCTAGAACTATGCCGTCTTCGGTCTGATCTAAGTATGGTATATAAAATCATACATTGCGATGTCTTACCTGTCAATGAATACTTCAGCTTCAAACATAACAACACCAGAGCACACAATAGATACAAACTCAAGGTTAACCGTACCAAACTTGATTGCAGGAAATACGACTTCAGCCACAGAGTGGTCAATGTTCGGAATACTCTACCTGACTTTGTGGTTTCTTCCCCAAACCCCCAAAACTTTAGCCTTAGACTGTCTACTATTGACCTCACCCCTTTCCTGAGAGGTCTGTAGGGGGCGTGCATAAGCGCAAAAATGTGCCTACCGTCTCTGTCCTATTGTTTCTTTTATTTTTCTTATATGTACCCATTTCATGTATTCATAACTATGTATATACTTATACCTATTATCTTGTAAGCAATTAACAAATCAAATAAATAAATAAAAATAAATAAATAAATAAATACTAACTTAACAGTTGTGGTGATTTGCTTAACATCTGTGGCAAGAGAGGTCATAAAATGGAGCAAAACTCATTTAACAAATGTCTCGTTTAACCACATAAATTTTGGACTCAGTTGGGGTTATAAATTGAGGACTACCAGTAGTCTCCCTGCTCAAAAATTTACCACTTCTTTCTGACCTTAATCTGGGGGAAACTGAGGCTGGTTTTTACCTTTATACCAGGTGATGCCCGGTTTGGGGGTTCCTGTGACTCGGCATGCTAGCTTGACTGTTTCACCAAGTTCTGCTGTACAATCTGCCAGTTCCTCTTCAAAATCAGGCGGATCTGAAGCAGGAAAAAAAATCAGATTTGATATTCACTAGGAGACGATAGAGTTCTAGTCTTCGGAGAGAAGCACTGCATGCAAAAGTAGCAAAAAAATAAATAAATTTGAAGAACTGAAGTCTTGAGTTCTACTCACCCCATACGGGAAGACTGATCCGTTGCTGAATACTACAGATCTCTTTCACCCATGAGTTTTTGATGATAACGGTGCGTGCCTGGAAGAGATACTTCCGGACCGAATCTTCCCGTTCGTGCCAGATCTCAAACGCCCGGTCATCGCCTTCGATCATGTCATTCACATCAATGTGAGATAGCTGAGCAACCAAAAACCAAGGTTACAAGTCAGGCCAACATCAGGCACGCATTTGCAGTACGTCTTACGTCCTTATAGAGGTAGTCCTTGACTTACAACCGTTTGTTTAGTGACCGTCTAAAATTATAATAGCAGTGAAAGAAGTGACTTAGGATAGGGCCATTTTTCTCACCCGTGATCATTGCAGCATCGCTAGTCACATGATCAAAATTAGATGCTTGGCAACTAGCATGGATTCCTAACAGTTGCAGGTTCACTCTATCAATTGTGTGACTAAGTTAAGAACAGCAGGGATTCACTTAACAACGGTGGCAAGAAAGGTTATAAAATGGGGCAAAACTCACTTAACAGTTGTCTTGATTAGCAATGGAAATTTGGGACTCAGTTGTGGTCGTAAATTGAGGACTACCTGTATAGTAGTCAGTCAGTCAGTCAGTAAGTCAGTCAATCTGCCCGCCCATCCATCCATCCATCCATGCATCTCCCATCTTTATTATTTTTACAAATATCTCAAGGTGGCAAACGTACCTAATACTTCCTCCTTATTTTCACAACAACCCTTTCAGATGGGCTGAGCTGAGAGAGAGGGACTAACCCAAAATCTCTCAGCTGGCTTTTATGCCTAAATTAGAACTCACTCTCTTCTGTCAATTCCCCGAAAGTCACCCACACACTTTCATGCCTAAGGCAGAATTAGAAATCACAATCTCCCAGTTTCTAGCCTAATGCCTTTCAACCCCAGATCCAACCTGCTGCATTGCTGTGAGATTTGAACCTCTCAAGGTACATCAGTGGATAATTCAGTATTGTTCTGATAGCTTAACCTCATTTTAGTTAGATACCAAAAAGTAGCCAGAGAAAGACAACCCTTTAGGTAGGGGATATTCAACCTTCATCATGTTCTTGAACAGATAGCTGTAAGTATCCATCTTCGTGTCTCGTTTTGGCTTGCACACGAGCAGGTAACCCTTGAAGAGGAAGGCGTGGCGCTTATGTCCTTTCCAAGCCATACGTGCCCCCGGAGCACCTTCCCACACAATGAACTGTCCCTGGGAAAAAAAAAAATAGCAAAACGTGGCAGGGAGTTCCACGGGCTTTATAAGTCACATCATCAGAAAGTTCTATTATAATCTAGTGAGAATTTTGACCCTTTGCTTCTGGATCTGCCCTTTGGAGCAACAGACTTTATCTCCAGTCATAATTAGAGTTTGAGTTATTTGTTACAAATCGTCAAGAATTGTTGAAAAGAAAGGAAGGATTTTTAAGTCTAATTTCCTCTTTGCAAAGAAGAAATAACTCACAGGGCGAACATATGCAACACACCTTCTCCTCCTATTTTCCCCATAACAACAACCCTATGAGGTGGGCCGGGCTGAGAGAGAAGGATTGGCCCAAAGTTACTAAACCAACTTTCATACCTAAGGCAGGACTACAATTCACCAACACCTGGTGATTGCCCCAAAGTCACCCAGCTGGCCTTCCTGCCGAAGGTGGGACTAGAACTCATTATCTCCTGGTGACTGGCCGATAGTAACCCACCAGGTTTTCATGCTAGGGTGGAACTAGAACTTACCAACTCCTGATGATTGGCCCGAAGTTGTACATAAGGTGGGACTAGAACCTACGGACCTCTTGTTTCTCGCCTGGTTCCTTAACCATTAGACCAAACTAGCTTTTAAATCTCACAGTCATGTGACTTTGAGCAGCTGATTACGATTTGATAAAAGAACATATCCACCCCAAATCAACAGGGTCAAACTGAAAAACATATTTTGGGGTTCAGCAGAAAGAGGAAGAAACTTAGCAGGCCGATGTGTGAACGAGACGCCTAGCTTTCATTTACCTGGCGGATAGGTTCTCCTAATATTTCCAGAGTTCCAGGGTAGTTCTCAATGAGAGAAATATGAAGGTTGTTTTCTGCTCGCCTGTTGAGTGCAGAAACAATGGCGTAGGCCTGTTCCAGAAGGGCGCAGTTTTGAGAGTTCCTTGCTTTGTTTCGGATCATGTCCTATGAACACAAGGAAAAGTATCGTTTGTCTCCTCTGTATTTAGACGAATACGTGCAGCAGAAATGTGGTTGAAGTGGAAAGGAAGGGAAAAAGGGAGGGAGGAAGGAAGGAAGGAAGGAAGGAAGGAAGGAAGGAAGGAAGGAAGG